ACTACTAGCCTCTCTAGCGCCCACCACCACTGCGCGCCCCACAAACAACACAAAGCCACTCTCAGACAACATGGACTTCACCGTCATGGTAGCCCTGCTCGTGAACCTGCTCATGAACTACTGCACCACCCAACCAAGGCCAGGACACCACCAAGGAAGTGCTGCAATCCAGACCGAGTACAGTCATCTGGATACCTTGATCTCCCTTCGCAAGAGGGAGAAGGAGTTGGATGCAAGCTCACCAAAGCTGGGCATGCCGTGAACACTCTACAGGCCCGCCATCCGAGCGCATCGAGAACCACATGATCCGAGCATGTCCGTGCTGCGATCCTCGCTGATGTCCACCACACAAAGCCATGGAGCGCGTTGGCACGCTTCCTTTCAGTGCGCCAACCAAAGAACAGCGAACGTGACCTACACCTTGAGGCCCTGCAAAGAGTGTGCCCACACGTTGGGCGAAAACTGGCTTGGAGTTGAGACGGTCGCAGCTGAAACTGAAGCTGCTAGTGCCGCCTTAGATGAAGCTGAAGCTGCATGCGCACCCCCCCCCCACCGGTGTGAAGTCGGTTTGATCTTCACGCCAGGTTGAACGACTCCTGCTGCCCTTTTGGGGCCAAACCGCCCTTGGATCCGCCTGAGATGGGTGGGATCCACACGTGCACCTTGGAGCCATGCCTATGGAGGTGTGAAAAGTCCGCACTTTGTGTTTTGATCATTTCACTTCGTTCTTGAGTTCCACTTCCTCGAGTGTGGGTTGTTGCTACCAACCTCAAAGTTTTAATGGCAGAAGTAGAACAAGAAGAGGTGAACGCGAGGAGGAGCCACCGGCAGTGAAATTAAGGAGGCCTATGAATTCATCAATGTCATTGTCAGAGGTGTCAGGCACCTCACCACGTGCACAGACACTGTGCAACAGATGAGCAACGGATGGCTATGTTGGTACAACGAGCAATATTGTTTTCATTGTCAGTGCGTACACTGCCGCAAGGCGAGCTCATAGAGAACTTTCGCCGGCCGGGAATAGAGGGCTTAGAAACTGGACTTGTAGATCTCCAGTGGCAAAAAGGATCAAAACCTTCATGCGTCGCAGCGTGTTGATTTGTCACCTCAATGGTTCACTATTTGTTGAAAGCTGCTCCGCTAGCGCTTTCGGCGCAAAACCATCGCGATCACCGGGCGATCAGCGCGCGGAGTCCGTGGCATTCTTCCTGTCCTTCACTTCGCCGGTGCCACAAACGCCCAGTGCGCCAGAGCCAGCGTGGAAATCGATCCGATGCTGCCACTCCAAGACCGTCCAATACCAGCCAAATCCTCGATGCGGACTTGGCTGGTCAACCGGATCAAGATCGGATGAAGAGGATCTGCTCGGAGGTTGCCTCCCTGAAGGTCCAAGTTCAACTGCACAATTGAGAGAGACATCCAATGTGGACCGTGCGAGCTCACCCCCCGCCTGACCTTCGGGCCCTGAGGGCCTTGGTGCAAGTCGGCGATTTCCTACTAGCGAACATGGTTTCTAATAGCTTCTTGTTACTACTAGTAAGGCACTTGTTACTGGTAGCGATGCACTTGTTACTAGTAGCTTCTTGTTACTACTAGTAAGGCACTTGTTACTAGTAGGGATGCACTTGTTACTAGTAGCTTCTTGTTACTACTAGTAAAGCACTT